ATTAGATGTGCTTTCAACAGTTTCTTAAAAATTGACAGTGATTTGGCAGACCTGATCGGCAGGAGCAACTCATTCCAAATTCTTGGCCCTATCACAGCGAAGGCCCGATCGCCTTTATATAGGCGATTTGTTCTAGGCACTACAAGTAATTTTTGATTCTCTGATCGTAATGTTCTAGGAGGATTATATGGGATTAAAAGGTTTGCCAAATACAATGGGGCCTGGTTGTTTAAAGATTTGAACTATTTGAACTATAATTTTATATTTAATTCTAGAATGGACTGGCAGCCAATTTAAAGAAACTAACACAGGGGTAATTGATTCATATTTCTTTACCTTTTTTAGTAACCTCGCCGCAGCATTTTGTACTGATTGTAGTCGAGACAAAGATGTGGCGGTGATGCCAGAATACAAAGAATTACAGAAATCCAGCCGTGATGGAATAAAGGCATGGATTACTCTTTCAGAGTCTGAGTTTGTTAAGAACGGTTTAACTTTGGCTAATAAACGCAAATTATAAAAACCAGCCCGAACCACTGAATTAATCTAATTTTAGGTTATTATCAATTAGGAAGCCTAAATCTCTTCTTTTTTTTTTTTTTTTTTTCAAATACGGGCCAGAGGGCTCGCATCTAATACATTTTTTGTGGAGTTATTTGGGTGGCTAAAAACAATGACCTCTGTTTTTTCCTCATTTAGCATTAAAAAAAATTTCGACAACCGATTTTTTATGTCCTTTAAATACGGTACATGGTCGTGCTCTCTGTATCGCGCATAGCGGAGTTCAGCCCCGATGCGCACACACAAGTGAGCACACTCCCACTAGTATTTGTAAATATTAAGCCGCAAAACGACTACTTAAATATGAATTCTGCGTGTCTCCGTGTTAAAGAATGGTGCAGACGCGCGGTTTTGTTTACTACTCGTACTGAAGCACGCCTGACGCTTCCGGTGATATTAACGTCTGCTGTCTCACTAATTAGGACATAAATACATGAACAACATCTCCGGAACTGCTCTGAGAGACACTTCGTGAGAATTTGACCGTTCATTTGAGTAAAACTATCCTCATATCATATACACACAAAAATGTACAGGTATTCACGGCAACCTGTCAAAAATAAAAGTTCAGTTTAACTTGAAGACATTGAGGCAGAAATATAATACAGTTGTTCAGTAATGTACGTAATAGGCTACTACTACTACTAAAATTATTAAAACCTTATTTTTAAGGAATAATCATACAATATTTCTTCAATGTTTTAATTATAATATTAAATCCCCTTTATTTTCCAAAAAATTAAATTGGTTTGATTTTCAATTTCATTAATTAAAATAAATAAAATTAATGTTTTATGCCTTAAAAATTTAAATACACAACACAGAATTTCTGAGAAAAAAAATCATAAGGCTATTGTAAGAATAAATGAAACTTGTTTTTATGCTTTCAAATAATTAGACATGCTAAAACACAGAATTTGCTAACAATAAAACATAAGGTTGGAATAAAATAAAACCTTTTTGTGCCCTAAACATGTAATTATTATTAGACTTTTAATAAATTGATGTTAAACTGTTTAAGTTTTATGATTTTAAATAATTAGACATGTTTTTGATTAATACAATTTAATTTAACCATTAAAAAGGAGTCCAGAAAAATTTAAATGAAAAAAAATGGAAGCCGTAAACCTATAATAATTATTGTAATTATGTGTGCTACACACCACTGGGGTAGATCAGTATCTCCACAGGGCAGTCGTAGGTGTACTTGTCTGCCAGTGTGACCACAATGCTTGTGGCAGAGCGAGCCGTGGGCTCAGCGTCCGCCCGGATGGCGTGTGAGGGGCTTTCCACACCTGTACAGAGAAACTTCTAAAGCATCTAAAATAAGCAGGAGCAACAGACGTTAGACCACATGCGAGGACTAAACCGTTCTGCAACTCCAGCAGGAAGATGCATACTGCAAAACAACCGGTATCAAATAATGTTATCAGTATGAAAAGTCAACATCAAACTATTACTGCATCAAAATCTCTTAGGCTAGAAAGTTGGCAGGATATATTTTGCATTTATGCTTTTGTCAGACGTTTTAATCCAAATAAAGCATTACATTTTACATGTATTCATATTTATTTATCTGGAAATCAGTGGTATAATATTTAATTCTAGACTCACGCATGAGGATGGAGGAACTGACCTGCCAGTAAATACGGCCCTCTGATCTCAAGATGGAAATTAAACTCATAGTCAATAGAGTTGATGGTCTCTTCCTCCAACAGAGCAGCCAAACACACTCCTGAGGCCGTCTGCTCGTGGGTTCCCACTGCACAGTGATGTTGATCCCTCCTGAGACAAATCAGCAGGAGATATTGATAAACTCCTCAATGTTTTTTGTCCATACAATGAAAGTCAGTAGGGTCTGACGTTGTTTAATTTCCAGTTTCCATGTTGTACATTTTGCTTAATCAACACATAATGCGACAATATCTTTGGAAAGATACCTAGAGAGATGGTTAAACAGATGGCAGTAAAAATTCTGTATGCAAATAAATGCAAGAAGGAAGACAGGTTGCAATTCAGTATGCAAATAGTAGAGCAATATCAGAGATTTTTAATCTTGCATATCATTTGAACAACCAGTCAGAAACTGCTCTAATTTAAAGCGATAGTTCAAACAAAAGAAGAAACATTTTTGAAAATGTGCCTACCCTCAGGCCATTCAGAATGTAGATGAGTTTGTTTCTTCATCTATAAAGATTTGGAGAAATTTAGAATTACATCACTTGCTCACCAATGGATCCTCTGCAGTGAATGGGTGCCGTCAGAATGAGAGTCCAAACAGCTGATAAAAACACCCCAATAATCCACAAGAAATCCACACAACTGCAGTCCATGGCTTAAGGATGGATTGGTTTTTTACAAATGCAGCTTTTCACTTTGCAAGACGTTACCTGATGGACTGGAGTCATCTGGATTATTTGTGGATTATTAAAATTAATTTGGTGAGCAAGTGATGTAATGCTAAATCTCTCCAAATCTGTTCCGTTCCAATAGACAGACAAAGTCATCTACATCTTGGATGGCCTAAGGTGAGAAAATTCTCAGCAAATTTTAATTTCAGTATGCAAATATTACACTGATATCAAAGATTTTTATGCATGTCATATGAACAACCAGTCAGTATGTTTTTGATTCACTAAAAAGAGCCGACTCTTAAGAGTCATTCATTCAGGAATCGGACCACACTGATTGTCCTGAAACTTTTTGATTCATTGAAATTAAACTAGTCCTTCAATCATTATAAATCATTATGCAAATATATTACACAGATATCAGCTTCAGTGTAATGTCTACTATGTCATTGCAGGTCAATGGGAGATTTTTAAACTTTAATCTTAAATGTCCTAAAAAAGTGTAGCATGCAACACAAAATGCAAAATAGGTAGTACAGATAAAGCTGATTTTATCTACAAAATACATGTTATGCTTTAAATTGGAGTCTGTATGTTAAAAGGTTCAGACTGAATGAATTGCTTTTACTAGGGTTTGGAGTTTAGAACTGAAATCAGAATGTTTGAAGATCTGTTCCGTTCCAATAGACAGACAAAGTCATCTACATCTTGGATGGCCTAAGGTGAGAAAATTCTCAGCAAATTTTAATTTCAGTATGCAAATATTACACTGATATCAAAGATTTTTATGCATGTCATATGAACAACCAGTCAGTATGTTTTTGATTCACTAAAAAGAGCCGACTCTTAAGAGTCATTCATTCAGGAATCGGACCACACTGATTGTCCTGAAACTTTTTGATTCATTGAAATTAAACTAGTCCTTCAATCATTATAAATCATTATGCAAATATATTACACAGATATCAGCTTCAGTGTAATGTCTACTATGTCATTGCAGGTCAATGGGAGATTTTTAAACTTTAATCTTAAATGTCCTAAAAAAGTGTAGCATGCAACACAAAATGCAAAATAGGTAGTACAGATAAAGCTGATTTTATCTACAAAATACATGTTATGCTTTAAATTGGAGTCTGTATGTTAAAAGGTTCAGACTGAATGAATTGCTTTTACTAGGGTTTGGAGTTTAGAACTGAAATCAGAATGTTTGAAGATCATACAGTAAATACAGTGTGCCCATGCAAATACTACAACATTAATGAATCACACACCTCCTAGCAGTGCTGGGTGAAAACGCCTGCTCCTCTTTGACAGAACGTTGGACTCTTGGAGAGCAGACGGGTGGTGAGCTCACCCGAATTCCCCCATTAGGGAGTGTGCTGAGCTCTGAGGAGGTGCTGACCAGTATATTAATGGTCTCCAGAGGGGGAATGACCCCCAGACTGACCACCAGCACTGTCGTCTCCTGATCCTCATCCAAAACGATATGTCCTGCAACAAGTTGATTCATCAGTAAAGCCTCTGAAATGTACAGTCAACTTCAATGAAAAAGCTTAATAAAATGTGTTAAAGGAATAGTTCACAGAAAAATGAAAATTTGTGGGAAATTTACTCCGCCTGAGGATCCTCTGCAGTGAATGGGTGCCGTCAGAATGAGAGTCCAAACAGCTGATAAAAACGTCACAATAATCCACAGTCCATCAATTAACATATGGTGAAGGGGAAAACTGTGTGTTTGTAGAAACAAATACAAAATTAAGGCTTTTAAACTTTAAACTGTCACTTCTGACCAAAAGACAAGTCCATAATCCGTAATAACACTACCTAAAAAGTCCATCCCCTGTTGTCCTCTCACATCAAAATCCACCAACATAATGAAACAAACTCATCTACATCTTGCATCAAATATTCAGCCAATTTCCATTTTTGGGTGAACTATTCCTTTAACTTGATTCAACAGTCACTGTGAAAGGCCTTACGTTTAAGATCTGAATCAGGGATTAACTAAGATCTTTGATGAGCATACAATCTTACCACCTCCGCTCTGCGGGGTTCCATTGGCATTGCAGCAATCAAAGTAACAGTCATCGATTTTCATTTTATCTTTGACCTGCACGGTTATTATCTGGCTGCCAATCATCGCTTCGAACCCGACCACCACGCTGAACTCATCCAGAGGGTATATAAAGATTCCTGCATGAATCACAGGATTACAGGAGAACACATTGTTTATTACCCAATAGCTAAAGGCGATCCTTCCACAAAGCTAATTGTGCACTTGACAGAAATTAAATCAATCGTTTTAGTGCTTTCAGCATTGATCAATGCAAAATCCAATCTGTTGGAGTCAATACGACACTGGAGACCACAGAGCAGAAATCTGCCGGTGACATTTCTAGACTTCACACAAATAGCTGATGAGGTTGGGAGGGAAAGACAAGTGTTTCTATTTCCTTCAGGGCATTTTGACAAAGTATTACTATGATTATAAAGAGTTTAATGCATTTCTTCTCAAAACATGACGAGAATCATAATTGTGGTTTTTGTCAAAAGCTGAAAAGGATAAGTGTTTTGGACAAAAAAAATAAATACTAGGCCTGATGATATAGCATCTTTTGAGATTATATTTAATCGGTGGATTCAATGGGAAAATGCTAAAATTTAGGTTCAATCAATACTAAACTCCAAAAAAATATTTAGGCCTAAATTTAAGATTTATTTATTTGAACTGCAAAATTTCCATCCATTTGCATTACACAGTTTTAATATAAACTCATAAACTTAATATAATGCATATTTGTCAGTCATTCATATTAAACAAGTAATATTTCTGCACTGGCATAGTTTATTAACTATTTGCATTGATTTGGTTTCATTTTCATCTTATTTTCAAAATTGCAAATCAGCATAAATCGGTTCATTGTGAAAACAATAACTGAAACAAATTGGATTTGTAAATCTGGTTATTGTGTATATATGACTGACAAATATGCATCACATTTAACAGTTCAAGGTAAACCTAGTAATCCAAATGGAAAATATATGTATATATATATATATATTTTTTTTTAGTGTAATAGTGAAGACGTAGCAAGAGCCACTAATGATTGATATCACTTCAGAAGAAATAATGCACCTATTTTAGACAGCATACTTACCCTCGACAGGGTGATCTTCGATGTTTTCATAGGTCAAGGAGGCTGTCATTGCCAGAGTGTAACCCCTGACACAGGAAGTGATGTCTGAGACGCTGAGAGGCAGAGCGCTTTGATTTGGTTTCATTTTCATCTTATTTTCAAAATTGCAAATCAGCATAAATCGGTTCATTGTGAAAACAATAACTGAAACAAATTGGATTTGTAAATCTGGTTATTGTGTATATATGACTGACAAATATGCATCACATTTAACAGTTCAAGGTAAACCTAGTAATCCAAATGGAAAATATATGTATATATATTTTTTATTTTTTTTAGTGTAATAGTGAAGACGTAGCAAGAGCCACTAATGATTGATATCACTTCAGAAGAAATAATGCACCTATTTTAGACAGCATACTTACCCTCGACAGGGTGATCTTCGATGTTTTCATAGGTCAAGGAGGCTGTCATTGCCAGAGTGTAACCCCTGACACAGGAAGTGATGTCTGAGACGCTGAGAGGCAGAGCGCTCCATTTGCTCTTGTTGATCAGGCCAGGCATGATGGTGGTTCTGTCCAGTACAGCTTCTCAAATGCAGAGAAGGGAGTGAGAGGGGATGCTTCCCTAAAAAACCTAGATAACATTGAAACTATGTTTTACAATATATCTTGCAGAATGCCAATAAATAAATACATATCTCTTTGGGGCCAATGCATTTTATTTATTTTTTTTGGACACACATTTATGGACACACGTTTATTTTTGTGGACAATGTATGAAAGTCCAGATAAGCATTATTATTATTAATAATTATTAGTATGCATTGAGTTTTCTTGCTTTAAGCAATTAAACAAAACATAAATAAATAAACATATATTTATTTATTTATTTACTTACATACATTTCCTTTAATGTCCAGAAAAAATATCTAAACTTTAAAAATCAGCTTGAATGACCTAATATAGTTATTATAATTATTATAATTTTTTAAATAAAAATTAAAAATATAATAAATAATATTTAATAAATATTTTTTATAATAAATAAAAATACATAACTTACAGAATGCAAATAAATAAAAGAGGCCAATATTTATTTATTTATTTAATATCTAAACATCCTTAAAACAAGATACATTTACTTAAAAAGCAAAAATGCATAAAGGATCTAAATTATTATTATTCTCTCTCTCTCCCTCTACTGGTTTTAATTGTTTTAAGCATAAATCTAACAGAATTTTGTGGTGTTAGTTAAAAAACTCCAATGAGAAAAAGAAACTTTCAAAATATATTCTCCGAAAACAAGTCACATGCAGTATCTAATGATATTTTGTTTCTCAAGTTAAACTGATCTCATTTTAAGGATGTTTATACAAAAAAATCTGATTTAAAAAAAAATACGTAACATTAATTTTACATTTGACTACCAGAAAATTACCAAAAACTAATTTTGAAAAGTGTGTTTATTATTTTATCATTTACTACCATACAAACTGTGACATGTTTTGTTTAAAAAGTGTGTTTGTGCAAATCTGTCCTTCAAATAAATCCCACCTGGTTTAATATTTCATATCTATGCAGTGACATTCACAAATTTTAAGTGTGGCTTAAGTGTCCAGTATCTGTGCTCTGAATAAAAAAAAACAAGTCATTCATATTGTCACATAATAACTCATCACTGCCCTCATGCCTGCCGCATTAATAAAGATGAGAAGACAACAGCATTATCCGTATCGCTCTGGATGTCACTCTGGTGTCCGAATGAAGACCTCTGACAGGTCCACACAAACCCCCTCCCCGTCCCATGGCTGGATTTCTGGCACACAAACCGCAGGTCTGCTTCAGCGCCATGAAAGGGAACAGAAACCTCTGGCACATCAAACAAGCCACAGCACTGTAACAGATGCAGTGCTGATGCCATGACGAGTCAGTTTTTACCTGAGGTCAGCACACAGAACTCCAGACTATGGAATACAAAACCAGAGCAGTTATCTGATACAGAGCAGCGTCTGTGCATGTCTCTCAGTTCCATTAATGATTGTTCCAGAAAAAGCGATTAACGTGATGTAATACTCAAATTAAGTAGTTTTCAGAGCACAAATGAGATCTCTTTAACTTTTCAATTGATTCTCTTGGACAGTAATGGAATTGAAATGGAAAGCTAATGCGCCACAGATTTCTCTCCTTAGAAAAAGACACCCGACACCAAAGCTCTCAGTCTAGAGTTTCAGGGGTGAGCTCTCTGAATAATGTTGCAGACTCTGCTCAGATTTGCCAAAATGCAAAGTCTGTCACCAAATTATTTGTTTTAGGACTCTGTACTCACGTCAACTGTCTTGTGTCTGTTTTTATTTCTAGTAAGACATAAGACAAATAAATCATTACTGAAAACACCATTAAGTTTCCTGAGGTTTGAACAAGCAATCTCCAAACAATAAAAATGTCACAAATGAGATCTCTTATATTATGACATTTATAAATATTGCAATTGTTTCTCCTAAACAGCAATGACAATCAAAAACTTTTGTTGAATCTGCTTGACAGATTTGTCTGAAAACCACAATAGAGATTCGGAAAAGATCTCAAAAATGCCTCATACTGTGCTCAGGTTTACAAATATCAGAGATTTTAATATGAGCTCAAGCATTGTCTTAAATCTTTTAATGAATTACCTGAGTTATACTGTCGAGTAATAGAAAATATTTGGCCATTCTGAGATTATGATATTATACACTATCATTCAAAAATATGGGGTTGGTAAGAATTTTCTTAATGGTTATAAAATAAGTTTCTTATATTCAGTAAGGCTGCATTTATTTAATCAAAAATACAGTAAAGTGGTAATATTGTGAAATATTATTACCATTTAAAATAACAGTTTTCTATTTTAATATTTTGAAATGTAATGTTTTCCTGTGATGCAAAAAATTTTTCAGTATAATTCAGTGTCACATGATCCTTCAGAAATCATTCTAATATGCTCATTTGCTGCTAATGAAACATTTCTTATTATTATCAATGTTGAAAAGAGTCGTGCCGCTTGATATTTTTGTGAAAACCGTTATATATTTTTCAGGATTTTTTAAAGAATATAACGTTCAAAGAACAACATTTATTTGAAATAGAATGACATTTCACTTTTGATCAGTTTAATGCATTCCTGCAGAAAAAATAATAATTTCTTTATTTAAAAAAAAAAATATCTTACTGAGCCCAAACTTTTAAAAAAGTACTATGAATTGGATTGCTTAACATTAATATATTTACTATTAATTTGACATATGATTTTGATTAATTCTAATGTATCAACATTATATCAGCAGTTCACAGCCTTGAAATGGCATCAGGCATTGAAAAGCCCATATCAGTCAACTACTAATGTCTTACTGAATCTCAGCATTTGAGTTTATTTCATCTAATGAATTACAGGAGAAACATCTGTGATAAAGCTCATACTTAAAGCATAAGTCATCAAACAGGATCATGAAAAAATAATGGTGGTTTCCAAACAGGTTTCCCACCTATTTGCAAACACAACTGAGAACTCTATTAATTCTCTTGAGCTCTATATCCAAAAATATATATATAAAAAAAAAGCAAACTGCATTATCATTTATCTCAAGACCGAAATTAATCACCTAACTTGCTGAACTTCCACAGTGGGCCAGTGTTTTGGAAATTTAACTCGATTCCCAGCCAATCCGCCCAAGATTTATGAGCAACTATTCTCAGAGGACATAAATGTTTGAGATTAAACAGCTCCCCGTTATCACAGGACAGAAACAGACGCTTTCATCAAGGTGTCCACATGGTCATAACTCTCAGACACAGAGGAACGCCACCCCCTCTCTAATAGATTAGGGTTTGGCGGGGTGCCGCGTGACGGGATGAGAGTGGACAGGTCAAACACTGCCATCATGTGTCCTGAGAGGAGCGGACATTTCTGCACAAAGCAAAGGTGTCAGTATCATCTTTAACCATGATATAACAGATGCTGAAATCATGCAGGTAACTAATGATAATGAAACCTTATTTAAAGTCTATTATGCTCACCTAGGCTGCATGTATTTGTTCAAAAATGTGACATATTATTATAATTTAGAATAACTGTTTTTTTATCGTAATACATTTTAAAATATCATTTATTCCTGTCATGCAAAGCTGAATTTTCAGCATCATTACTCCAGTTTTCATTGTCACATGATCCTTCTGAAATCATTCTAATATGCTGCTAAAGAAACATTTATAACAGATACTGAACCATGCAGGTAATCAATGATATTAAAACCTCAAAATAATCATCTCTTATGCTCACCATGGCTGCATTTATTTGATTAAAATTTTTAAATATCATTTAAATTTAAAATAAAATGATGTTCTTCTTCTGTGTTCTTGTTAAAATTTCATTTTTGTAATATGCTGATAAAGAAACATTTATAACAGATACTGAACCATGCAGGGAATCAATGATATTAAAACCTCAAAATAATCATCTCTTATGCTCACCATGGCTGCATTTATTTGATTAAAATTTTTAAATATCATTTAAATTTAAAATAAAATGATGTTCTTCTTCTGTGTTCTTGTTAAAATTTCATTTTTGTAATATGCTGATAAAGAAACATTTATAACAGATACCGAAGTCATGCAGCTAATCAATAATATTAAAACCACATAAATTAAGCTTTTTAAATGACTCTAGCAGAGCAAGTGAAGGTCAAAATCTATTTCATTCTTAATAACCATATGATTTTGCTTGTCCTCATCATGAAATAAAACATAATTCTAGCTTTCTTCCATGTTCTATTCTAGGGGACCCAAATCAGAAGAACCCAAAGTGACAGACAATAATCAACCCCCGCCTCCCATCCATCCTCTCCCTGGAGCAGCGGAGTGTGAATCACTCCCAAAGAAATCGCCAAATCACCAACTCCACGGCTGCCACCACACACACTGCGGGAGACACGGCACAGAAACAACCACCTGTTGATCTCAGCAAACACTGACAACAGATCCATCACTTGCGGCCGCGAGCGAATGAAATCCCTCTTTAGCGCTTTGGAAACACTTCCCAAATTCACCTCGAATCTCAAACAAAATACTTCATCTCAATCCTTTGACTTCAGTTCCTCACGCACTTTTC